GGGGAATATGAATCATCTCCCTTAGCTTTGGGTTTGTGATGTATGTCTTGACCTTGGAAAGTATATACATAACCGCCTCATTCCACCTTCAAAAGTAGGATTGGTTCTAACCTTACTTTCCTTAAAAAACACAGTAGCCAAAATGGCCCATTTCAACATACGACGAAGAAAAAGTTAAAAACATGGAGAAGTTGAACAAAAATAATATAAGAGTTGCCCTCTCCTTCCCCCATTTTCACCTTTACTACATAACACTAATTGGGAGGACGGAGGAAAGAAGAGGAATAGGGGTAGAAGGAAATAATTGGGGTATTTATGTTCAATATGCCAAATTTGTACATTTGGATTTGAAATATGCATTTTAACTTTATTTACATAATGTTGAGAAGGTTATGTATACATTTATGAGATGTTATGTTTATATTTACATTGGCTGGGTGATTTATGTACCTCCAGTGTTGTGAAGAGCGTGAAGCGAGGAAAAGCGACAACCCCCATTTCACGAAAAGCGAGAAGCGAAGCGCTCGCTTTTTTTAAGTGAAGCGGAATTAAAAAAAAGTTTAAAATAAATACTGCATAGACAACACATGTAATTGTAAGCAAATGTTCAATACTTCAATTAAAAAACTAAAGAGTAGCATCAATTAAAACACAAAAAGAGCATCATATTCTTCTGCAAGATTGTCAAATTCTTGTATTCCACTATCATTATCATATTGCTCGTCATCTTCTTCAACTTCATCTTCTTCATCAACTAGAGACAAAGTAGCTGCCTGTTTTCCCTTCCTATGTGAACTTGAAGTTGAGGTACTCCCCCTCAAACCATAAATCCTCTCCCCAATTCCATGCGCCTCCGCAACATCACCCCAAGTGAAATCAGAAGTATCCTCAAATACTTCTTCATCTGCATGATCTTCCGGGACTCCAGTTAGCCATTCATTAGCATCATCGATGTTGTCCAAACTAATTGGATCAATTACATTGCGAGCGTTGTAACGACGCCTCAATGTTCTATTGTACTTAATGAAGACTAGATCATTGAGACGCTTCAAGGTTAGTTTGTTCCTCTTTTTGGTATGAATCTGCAAATAATAAGTAATTAGTAAGATTAGGACAATTGAGATATAATTTAATTATCTCAATATACTAAATCTTTCTTATTAGTTCTTGCATGCTCAAACACGTTCCAATTCCTTTCACACCCGGATGAGCTACATGTTAGACTTAGAACCTTGCTGGCAAACTTTTGTAAATCTGGAGTGGAATGACCATATTGCCTCCACCATTCAACTGTAGAAGTAGAACAAATTTTCAAAACATAATATTGATAAAGAAATAACTTATTAACTATAAAACAACATATAAGCACTCGCTCACCTGATGACTTCGTCTTTCTTTGTCTAATGGCCATGTTTTTTCCAAAAAGTTGCTCAACATTCTTATAAATACTAAATTGCTATGTGATTTTATCTTGCACGGATTCTTCAGGTATCAACTTCTCAATACATTCATGGTATCCATTCCACAAAAGTTCATCTCCTAGAATCCTCTCTTCATTGTCATAAAACAGTTCCGGGTTCAAAACAAGTCCAACTGCATGCTAAGGGCTATGAAGCTTACTATCCCACCTTTTATCTATGATCTCAAAGACTCTTTTGTATTTTCTTTGATCACTAATAGAGGCTTGAATAGCCTCCTTTGCCCTATCAATTACTTCGTACAGGTAGCCCATTTGTGGCCTTTGCTCCCCATCCACCAAAAGAAGCACTTTAACTAAAGGACCACCAATCTTCAATGCATGAATCACATTGTTCCAGAATGAAGGAGTAAGTATAATATATGCAGATTCTCTCCCTCGAGCTTCCCTTTCATAGGCACTGCTAGTGTACTCATCTGAAACATACAACTTCTTCAAATTGCTTTTTTGCTCATACATCCTAGCCAAAGTCAAGAAAGCAGTAGCAAATCTTGTCTTTGCAGGTTTCACCAAGCTTCTTTGGTTAGTGAATCTCTTCATCATGTTCAATAACAAAGGCCTTTGAACAATATAAGAATGCACTCTAATTACCTGATTAAAGACAGTACTGAAGGGTCTTTTCTTGAAAATATCACCGAAGATCAAATTAACAGAATGTGCTGCACATGGAGTCCAATAGATATGCGGGTAGCAAGCAGACATCATATCACCAGCTTTAACATTTTCACTGGCGTTGTCCGTGACAACTTGAACAACATTTTTTGCTCCAATAGAGTCTATTTTACTCTTGTACAAGGAGTACATTTTGGTTGAATCAGTAGAAGAGTCGCTTGCATCAACGGACTCAAGAAACAGGCTTCCCTTAGGAGAATTCACCAAGATATTGATGATCATTTTTCCATTTCTTGCCGTCCACATATCCATCATAATGGAACAACCAAACATGTTCCATTCTACTTTGTGTTCCTCCACGATTTTGTTTACCTCTGCCACCTCTTTTTTTAGATATGGCCCTCTAACTTCATAATAAGTTGGAGGCTTCATTCCTGGGCCATATTGGCCTATGACCTCAATAAAAGTAGCAAAAGTGTTAGTATAATTAACACAATTAAAAGGAAGACCTGCATCATACATCCACCTGGCAAAAAAGGTAACTGCACGGTCCCTCAAAATCGCTTTGGCATCAACTTGAGGATTACCACTTTTTCCTCCCTTATCTCCAGATTTTTGCGGGAAGTAACAATCCATAGGACCTTTGGTCTTGCCAGTAGATCCACAACTAGAAGACATTGGTGGAAGCATCCTTCCCCGCTTTTGTGATTTTGGTGGAAGCGACAAAGCATCGTCACCTTCTTCTGTTTCATCATCATCATCATCAAGATTATAAAGTTCTTGTTCATGAATCATTTGAGTCTTTAACTCTTTCTTTTTTGGAAGGTAAGCTTTCAATTCTTCCTTCACATGCCCCGGAACTTTAGGACAAGATGCGACATTTGGATCACCACTGATTAGATGCGCTTTTTGACGATAGATTCCTCCATTTGTAATCTTATCACAAAAAAGACATCTAATGGCTATCTTGTTGGTCTCGTTAACTCTTGCAGAGTAAGCCCAAGCCGGGTCTTTCCTATCTTCTTTTGGCGCCATTAAAAGATCAACTACATAACACATAAGAAAGGCAATAAGAACTAAGAATAAAAGATATAATAATTGGCAGAAACTTGGCAGAATTTTTCTGAAAAAAATTCGCCAGCATTTCGGCGCTTTTTGGATGTTTAGAAAGAAAAAGAAAAAGAAAAAGAAAAAGAAAAAGAAGAAGAAGAATGAAAATAAAAAGTGCAGAACATACCTGTTGAAAGTTGTTGTTGTACTGTTGAAGAAGAAGAACCCTAATTTGAAGAAGATAAATCACTGCTTGAAGTTATTGAAAAAGAGAAGAAATCGCTGCTGCTAAAGAACCCTAGTTTCTCTGTCGCTGCTGAAGAAGTCGAAGAAGTCTAGAGAACTAAAACAGAACCAAGTTTTTAATTAAATAGGGCTTTGAGTCTTTTAAATCAAAAAGCGTCCGCTCGCTTCTTCTCGCTTCACCGCTTCTCGCTTTTTACAGAGAAGCAGTCGCTTATACATACTAGAGCCGCTTTTAATGGTAGAAGCGCCGACCCTTCCGCTCCGCTTCGCTTCTCGCTTTAAGCGAGGAAGCGCTCGCTTTTTTTATCACTGTGTACCTCAAGCTAAAAACTGAGGGGAGTAATTCCTTTTTTGGGTTTAAAAAACAAACTGAGATTATCCTATTCAATTGTTTATTTACAGAGGCTGGGCTGCTTATGTGGCACTAATTGAGGGAGAATCCTCTTTAACCTTTTCTTCTTCTTTTTTTAACTCAAAAAAGTAGTTTCAAATAAGGCTTGTTTTTTTAAAGCTAGTGTTAAAATTTATACAGTTTCTGCTTCGTTCTTCGATAACCTCCTTTTGTAGCTATTGGCTATTTGAGCCTTGAACTGTTGATTTCGTGCTCTTCATTTCACATGTTTTTGATTTTTTTTTCCCACCATCGACCTCGCCTTTCTTAGGACTTCCTCAGTATTTAAGAGGCACATTATTATTTGATTCTGTTTAAATTCAGTATGTAAATATGCTTTGATGGTACTTACTTTTAGCTGCTTTTGCCATTAATTCTGCATAAAGTTGTTGTTTGTAGATTTTAAGGTGAACTAGGCACCTACAATATATATTATGTTGTAGGTCAATCTATCGTCTATGCTAACGGTACCATCTGCATTCAGCCTCTCCGCAGGTAATGTCTATGTTTGGTAATTCATATCCTCCTGCTGGTGGTCCACTATCTCAGAACCATATCCAAGCAGTCGGCAACCTTAATTCTATGGGAATGCTGAATGATCTGAATTCAAATGATGGGTCTCCATTTGATATAAACGATTTCCCTCAGCTAAGCAGCCGACCTAGTTCTGCTGGAGGGCCTCAAGGACAATTGGGTAATCAGAGTGCCTTTCCTTCCTGATTTTCTGCACAAGTGATTTTATTTTACAATTCATTCAGAGTACTGAGGAAGGAACAATCTCAGGTTCACTGCGAAAACAAATTGTTCAACAAAATCAGGAATTCAGCATTCAAAATGAAGATTTCCCAGCCTTGCCTGGATTTAAAGGTGCTTATATGCATGCACAAAGCTCTTCTCATGCTTTCTTAAGTTGATAAATCACTCAGCATATATAACTTTGGTATGACAATTTGTTCGGTGGGGTCAAAAAGGTAAGGGTGGGAGGACGGAAATAGAGGGACATGAGTCATTTCGCTGTTTTGTTAAGAAACAACCTACCAGGGAAAGTGAAAGTGGAAGGGTGCATACCCCTCTGCGCGAGCCTTTTCATTTCTTTAATTGAGTGGAGAGCAAAGGTATCTGATTTACTCCCCTTTAAGTTGCGCCAATCAGCGTGAAATGAATGACAAATACTTCGGAGTAGGTAAGTCAACCAAAGCCCTTTTCCTTTGCCCTTTCATCCCTTCCCTTGAAACAAACGTAGTGTTGGTGGATCTGAATTCTCAATTCCTAGTATGACTGGTTGATGTCGCACCCCACCAGCTAAACTTTCTCACTAGTCCTGGGCTTTATTTGGTGTATAGCTCCCTTTTATTTTCTGGGGGGAGTGCTAGGAATTATGTTCAGCATGCTTATGGGGCTTTATTCCGTAGTTGTTTCTTTTATATTTTTGTCTTGCTTTATGCATGGAAATGTTCCTATCTTGCATGTTAAGTCTACTAAGTGCAATTGCTCTCGTGTTTGCTTAGGTGGCAATGCTGATTATGGTATGGATCTACACCAGAAAGAACAACTCCATGATAATACTCTTTCTATGATGCAGCAGCAGCAGTTCTCTGTAAACACAAAAAAACTGGATTACTATTTTAAATGCTGTGTTTACTAGTAAATGGTTTTAGCCTCATGACTCTGTCCTCGATTGCTCAATCTTTCATAAACTAATGCGCAGATGGGCAGATCTGGTGGCTTTAACTTGGGAGGGACATACTCATCACTTCGCACACAGCAGCAACAGCAACAGCAACATGCCCCATCGGTGAGTAATAGTGGTCTCTCTTTTTCAAATGTTAACAACCAGGATCCACTATATTTACATGGTTCAGATGTCTTCTCGTCATCGCACTCCAGTTATCACCAACAGGTGCATTACTCTTACATTTTTGCTCTTATTTGTTTCATGTTCTTCTGTGTGTCTTTCTCTTTATATTTTGGGGTGCTATTGAGGTGAGATATGTATCACATGCACTCTGCATAAAGAGAGATTGAAGCCCTCCTGTGTTGGAGACTTCCCTTCCTTTTAAAAAAAAAAAATCATGTTTTCCCCTTAACTATTTCTGTTTGGAGGTTTCTTTTGTTTACTTATTCTTGTTTGGGTCAGGTGGGGTTTTGGGGGGTGGGGGAGTTGAGGTTGGTATTCCTTTGTTGCCTTTTGTGTTCTTCATTCTGTGGAGAAGTATGTGTATTTTTCTGAGTACATGTACGAGACTGGTTATTCCAAACCAAAAATTCGATTTTATCAGAAGAGCCACCTCCTACCCTTCCGGGGTAGGGGTAAGGTCTGCGTACATCCTACCCTCCCCAGACCCCACTAGTGGGATTTTACTGGGTATGTTGTTGTTGTTGTTGTTGTTGCCACCTTCTTCTGAAGCATGACTGAGTTGAGTTGTGACGTGGAAAAGCTAGAGTTTTGCTAGTATTACGCTGAAGTTTTTTCTATATTAAGTGTAATTTGTGGTGCATGCTATAAGTTCTGTATTCATACAGCTTTAAGTGATACTTTACTCGCTTTTCACTTTATTTGATTCAGTCTGGTGGACCTCCTGGTATCGGGTTACGACCTCTTAATTCTCCAAGTACTGTTTCTGGTATTGGCTCATACGATCAGCTTATCCAGCAGTATCAACAACATCAGAGTCAATCCCAATTTCGACTGCAGCAAATGTCTGCTTTAGGTCAGCCGTACAGGGATCAGGGCATGAAATCCATGCAGGCCCAAGCTACCCCTGACCCTTTTGGTATGCTTGGTTTACTAAGTGTAATAAGGATGAGCGATCCGGATCTGACTTCTCTTGCACTTGGAATTGATCTAACTACTCTTGGATTGAATTTGAACTCTGCCGAAAATTTACACAAGGCATTTGGTTCCCCATGGTCTGATGAGCCTGCCAAGGGTGATCCAGAATTTACTGTACCGCAATGTTATTATGCCAAGCAACCACCTCCTCTAAATGTGAGTGACCTTGATATTCTTGTTTATCTTCATTCGATTGCCGTTCTTTAAATCTACTAACGCGTTTGAATTGGCTGCAGCAAGCATACTTCTCCAAGTTTCAGTTAGACACTTTGTTTTACATTTTCTACAGGCAAGTCCCTCTCATAAGCAAGTCTAGTTTTTCTTGGCCATAAAATTTGAATCTAGAAATAACTCAATCTGTTATTCATTGCAGCATGCCAAAGGATGAAGCCCAATTATATGCTGCTAATGAATTGTATGCTCTCTTTTCTATGAAAATTGGTTTATAGGGTGCTATTTCGTTGTATTGTAATTCCTAATAGCAATTTAGCTTTCTATTGCTTCTTGGGATCCGCATACAAAATTACTAACCTATTTGTGGATGTTTGACTTGCTTCAGTTGTTTGTTGAATATGCTTGATAACCATTTGCATTATTTATTTCATACAGGTATAATCGGGGCTGGTTTTACCACAGAGAACATCGATTATGGTTTATGAGGGTCGCCAACATGGAGCCTCTTGTCAAGACCAACGCCTATGAGAGAGGATCTTATATATGTTTTGATCCAAACACATGGGAAACAATCCGCAAGGTATGGATTTCGTTCTACGTTTTGAATTTATGTAATTTGAGGTTCTAGTTTTCTGATTTTCTGCAATTCTTTCTTTGCAGGATAATTTTGTGCTCCACTATGAGATGTTGGAAAAAAGACCTCTTCTACCTCAGCACTAACGATTCTGTTCAGCTTATAGTTGTACATTTTTCACATATCCCATTTTCTAGTTCCCACCTGTAGTTTTCTGCTCAATTGGGTTTTTTGGCAGCCATTGTTACTGTAATGTTTTCTCAGTTGGTGGTTACCTGTTGCTTCTTCTAGATGCTGCAAGTCAAAAAGGAAAATATTCCGGAATAATTCTCCCATTTTCCCTGTCGAACCATACTTTTTTGTGGGTGGAAATGCCATTTTTGATATTCTAATTCTAAGCAGGCAGCAGGTCAACATGGCTGCTTAGGATTTAAAGGGTATTTTGGTCAATTCAGTTAGATGGAACATAGTGATTGATTTTCTTCTAGAAATTTTGAATTCCAAGCTAAATGAACTACTGTAGCTCATGCATATATTTTTGTGTCTTGTCTAAATTGCCCTTTGATTATATCATCATCAGTCATTACACATTCTCCAAAACAACTGTCCTAGCGGCCTACTTTGTACTCCCCTACGTGGACCCTACGCTCAGTCCCGCCCAAAATGTTTCTCACCTTTGCATTTGCCAACTGTTCACAAGCTAGCGTTTGGCCATAGATTTCAAATTTATTTTGAAAAATTTAATTTAGGTGAAGTTTGGTTTGAAGATAAAAATGTGTTTGGACATATGTTTTCAAAACATATTTTCCAACTTTATTTTGGAAAAACATGTATATAATTCCCAAGTTTGGGATTTTGGCCCAAAATTAGCAATTGGGATGATTTTGGAATTTGAGATTTTGCCAAAATATAGGCAAAATTTATGGCCAAACATAAATTTTGAAAATAAATCTCAAATTTATTTTGGCAAAACTCATGACCAAACGTGGCCTAAGCTATTGACGTCTGGTTTTGTAATTAGTAATCACGGGAGTCACGTGAATAACTTTTGCTCTTTTATTTGTTTATTATTTTTTTCCAGGGGGGTTGGGGGGTTCACTTTTGCCCGACGAGTAGGGGTGGACGTTCGGTATTTCAGTTCGGTATGTAAGAATTTCGGTGCGGTATTTTGGTATTCGGTTTATCAATTGTGTATACCAAATATCATATACCAAAATATTTCGGTACGGTTAGGTATTTCTTATTTTGGTTCGGTACGGTTTCGGTTTAACAATCAATGAATAATCAATGCTAACAGTGCACATGTACAATTGAAATTTTCACTCTAAAAGATTCTGTTTTCCGATATATAACAGTGCACAAGCACAACTGCACATGGCTGAAACAAGAATAACATATTATATTCTGGCAATTCTGGCTGAAACCCCCGGCAAGCAATTCACTGATAAGAATAACATATCACTGATAACCAATTCACATGGCTTAAGAATAAGTGAAAAGCAAAAGTTGAACAAGACAACAACTTCTTTATAATCTGGCAATCTGCAGTTGCGCGCCAGTATACTGTATGTCATATTATACAATATTACAATCTGCATTCTGCACGCCAGTATTAGTATACAAGTGAAAAGCAAAAGCTGGCCAACTGCACAATGCACATTACACAACTATATTAAACAACTTAAAAACAGTTGACAGTTCAATACTGCAATCAACTGGCCAACTGCACATTACACAACTTAACACTTAACACTTAAACACAGTGCAATAAAAACA